TTGTTCTCAGGGCAACGGCAGAGGTGCCTTCATTTATAATGGCTGCCAGCATCCCACTAGCCAAAGCAAGTCCACCATCAGAATGGGAAGGAGCTACAAAGTTCTACGGCAAAGGGCATAAATACTCAGAGATGTTTGGAATTCAGAGGGTTTGGAACAAGTAATCTGTCAGTCTACCACCCACAGAGACTGTTGGAGCCCTAGGAAGGGGCCTCACCCAGCCCCCAAGTGGTCAGAGAAGCTTCCTGGGGGAGATAGCTGATCAGAGTCTTGATAGCCAAGTCTGAGGCTGCAACTGGGGAACAGAAGGGTCAGGATTTTCCAGGTAGCTGGAACAGCATATCCAGAGCAATAGAGGGACAAGAGTGCTATGTTTGAAGAATGCTAACATGTTTAGTATTCGGAGGCACAGGGGCCAACAAAGAAATGAAGTTATTGACGATAGCAGGGTCTAGGTTACTGCCTTGGAGGTGTCACTGAAGAGCTAGCCCTTTAACCCGCAGGCAGGAAGGACCTGTGGCTTTGAGCAAAAAAATAGAGTGGAGGTTATGCTTTTACAAGCTGACCATAGCAGAAGCAGCAAGGCAGGTGTGTGCAGCCACTGCGTGTGAATTAAGTACCTTTTAATCTCACTGGGATAGTTGGGAGGGGCAAGGGTCTGCAGAGAGATGGCAGGGACCATTGCAGGGGAGATGCATTGCAGGGACCATCGCAGTGAGAGATGCATAGGCCTGAATCAGAGTGGGAGAAGAGGTGGGGGTCTTGTTGTCCAAGACGTTGTGGCAATAGGATAAGCCAGGTACTGTGGGCGAGGCTGAGGAAACAGTAGGACAGGTGGCCTGGGACTGCCTCCTAACATTTCGCACAGGAATTGCAAGTTTTTCTTAGTATCTCTGCTAAATAACCCAAACTATGGTGAGGGTCCTCTCTTCTCTTGGCCAAAGGAGTCTAGGCTATTTAGTCACATGAAACTAGCTCCCATCCCAGCTATATGGATTGATCAAAAAATCCCCAACCCTCTCCATGTCTCAGTGTCCCCATCCAGAATGGGGACCCTGCACTAGATGAGCTCTCAAGTTCCCAATATCTTGGCAGGCTGCATTCCATTTGAGCTGTGATCCTCAAAAGCCAAAGGCAATGGGACTGCTTATGAAATGCCCCAGGAATGTGTTAAAATACAGAGATCGTGATCCCAGAGGGTGGGGTCTGTGCATCTGACTGTTTGTGTAGCATTCCCAGTGATCCTGATGCCTGGCAGATCTGGCTGGCCAGCTGTGTCCCCAGGGCCAGGCATGATGACCCAGAAGACAGAGGAGCCTAAGGATACCTATAATAAATTTGAGTATAGATCTAACTCTGAGGGTCCCAGTTGCTCCAGCCTTTTCTGGGGCCAGGAAGGCTTCTGGAGGAGGTGACCATTAGGGTGGGCTTTTTGTATGCTCTTATTCATCTGCTTGTTTTGCTTTGCTGCGATTTGCTCCTGACCACAAAGCTAGTCCATGCTCACCTGAGAGCCGCTCAAAGTGCAGGAACAAAAAAGAGTCAAAAGAAAATCCCGTCATTCCAAACCCAGACACAAGCAGGGTTCTCATTATGTCATTAATAAGCTGTTGAGACCCAGAGTGCCATGGGGGACCTCTGTGGGCAGAGGGCTGGAGGTGACAGCAGGCAGAACGTGTTCAGAGGCCAGCACGTCGGGATGGGAAATGTGGAAACAAGTAGCCCGAGCCAGCCGGTGCCGGCCCCACACACCTTCTCTGTTTCAGGCCTGTTGCCCCCAAGTCCAGAAGGAGGTGGCTGGTCCTGGAGCCCAGCCAAGGTCCCTGAGTGCAGCCCTCACGCCTCTGTCTTTCCTTGGCCCAGGTGCTGTTTGCCCTGAACCAGACCTTGCTGCAGCACGAGAGTGTGCGGGCGGGGAGCCTGCAGGCGCCCTACACCACAGAGGACCTCATCAAGCACTACAACTGTGGGGACCTCAACGCGGTCATCTTCAACCACGACACGTCCCAGGTGAGGGTTTCTCCTCCAGCCCAAAGAGCCTGTGGGTCACCAGCTCCAAAGACCTTGAGCCAGGCCCCTATGAACCCAGCTGGCATTTTCTGGATACCTACTATGGGGGGCACAGACAGTCTTCTTTCAAACCATGGTCAGTAGGAGCTTCCATTATCCCCCTTTTATAGATGGGAAAACTGAGGCACAAGAGTGGAAGAGACTTTCCTAAGGCCACATGACTTACCTAGTTGGTTGAGTTATCGAGTTATCAAGAGCAGCAACTTGAGCCCGGCCTATGTGGCTCTGGGGCCTAGGACCCTGGGAGCTCAGCCTGAAAGACCAGGGAAGCCTCCGAGAGGTTCAGTTCACTGTCTGGGGAAATTCATGCCCAGGGAAAGAAAAGCCCATATTTACTCAGAGCTTAGACTTGAGTCCCATCCAGGACATCCTGTTTTGGTTCAAATTCTAGAGGAAAGATGACTCCCCGGCTGGTCAGTGAGTAGGACGTGTGTGAGGGGCGGAGTGTGGCTCACCCCTGCTCAGACTCCACATGCTACCTGTAGCTCTCAGGGTACATTCCAGCACACTTCTCTAGCATTCAAGGCCCTCAGGACAACCTAAGTCATCCATCCAGTCCTTGTTGCTGACCTGTGGAACTCACACCCATCCTGATGTCCTTCCAAACATCTGCGCCTTTGTTCCAGCTCCACCCTCCTCCAGGGCTCCTTTCCCTTGGCCATGGTTAAATGTCACCTCCTCTAAGAAACCTTCCAAATTCCTTGGACTGAGTTAAGTATTCTCCCAGGTACCTCTAGGCCCCTGTGCCTCCTCAGTCATGGGGCTAGAGTATCATTCATCCAAGGAAGCAGTAGAACCAGGCAGAACAGGACACTGCACACGCGCCTTGTTTCTCTCAGAAGGAAAGCCAGAGTCTCTGCACGGTCCCACTTGGCCCCTATTCCCTGCCCCCACCCTTCTTCTCTTCCCTCCACCCTGCATGCGCCTCCTTGCAGGCCTCTGCCTTTGTGCTGGCCATTCCCTCCTCCCAAGGCTCTTCCCAGGTATCCCCATGGCTCCCTCCCTCTCTGCCCCAACAGTCACCTCTCACCATCTCTGCCCAGAGTCGCAGCCTGGCCCCACACCCACACTCCCACGCCCCCTCTGTTATGCTGAGCTTTCCCATGGCCTCTGTCATCTCTAACTTACCATCCACTTGGTCGACTGATGACCGACTGTGCACTATCTTCTCTTCCTGGCTGGAACGGAAGCTTCATGGGGGCAGGGATCTGTGGTATCTGTTGGTACACCCCAACTGGCTAGAGAGTCCTTGGCTCAGTCAGGACTCAGACTGAATGGATGAAATAGTTTCTAATGCTAGATAGATAGGTATGAAAAGGGATCCATAGGGGAGCAGGAGAGAGCTGCACTTGAGAGCCTCACAGTCCCACTAGGGCTAGGGGGATTCAAGGAGTAATTTTCCCCAAGTTGATCCCTGCTGTGTGGGAGCATGGAGGATGCAGTTAGAGCCTGTGGCAGGAACAGCTAATTTAAAGGGGCCTGGAGCTAGAGAGAGAAGGAAAGATTCCTGCAAGGTGTACAGTCACAGAAGAAACTGAGTTGGCCACAGACCAGGAGGGAGAATGTCCCTGCAGAGGAAACCATGTGCAGATGAGCCAGAGGCAAGAAAGAACAAGAGAGGGATGTGGGCGAGGTGAGTGTGGGCTGGAGCCAGAGCCTAGCTGGGCCACGGGGCCGGCCGGTGTTCTGTCTGTGGTGGCCATGAGCTCCTGAGGCAGGGAGTGCTGTCCGTCCCCTGGTCCCTGTTGCCCAGCTCAGGCTGGCACGGAGCATGTGTCACAGAGCAGCTGCTGCATAAGCAAACATAGACTTGTGGTGTGCTTGGTGTGGTGTAGAGGGAAGGAAGAGAGGAAGGGAGACCTTGTCACCATGCAGGAGGCTCAGGACTCCGAGAGCTCTGACTTGGTGATGGATGATAGAAAACCCTCACACCAAGGGCCTCCTAGGAATCTGCCTCCTAGGCCCCACCTGTCATCTGCTGGGGGAAAGGCCTGTGAGTCCCAAGAAGCCAGAGTTCTGTAGCAGAGGGTGCCCTGGTCACTACTCCGGATGGCCTGGCTGTGACATGCCCCTGCTGGGGGCTGGGGTGTGCAGGACAAGACCCTGGCCAGGCTGTGGCTGATCCTAGACTGGGAAAGAGAGGCATGAGGTGGCCTCAGGGAAAGGCGAGCTCAGACTGTCTTTGAATCTGTGATCCAACCACTGATTGTTTTTTCTCATTTTTTTTATTTTTTCAAATTTATATGAGGGTACAGTTTTTAGGTTACATTATTCTCACTTCCAGGATAAAGTTCCATTTGTAGAAGAGCCCCTCACCCAGGGCGCGTGTTATACACACTCACAATATGCACATTAGATGAGATCCCACCTCATGCCCTCCCTCCTTCTTCCCCCCTCCACTTCCCTTTGCCTCCAAACTGAGCTATATTAGTGTTTTATTGTTCTTACGAGCATGTAATTGTTTATATGTTGATTTCATATTAGTATGGAGTACATGGAATATTTATTTTTCCATTCTTTCCATGTATTTCAACTCCATCCAGGTAAATGTAAAAGATACAAAGACCACTGATTTTTCTCTGGTGAGCAGAATTGCCTTGAGGGTCTCCTGACAGTTCTCGTACTTGAAGTGGGACAGAGGACTGGGTGGATTGGGCCACCTGGACTAGAAGAGCAACTCATGCCACACCCAGGGGTACACAAGCAGGATCCAGCCCCTCTGGGCCCCTTGGGAGGGGTGAGCAACCCTGGCTTCCGATATGGAAAAGCCTAGTGTCAAGAGTGGCAAAGTTAAATCCAAATTCCCACAGGGACGTGGCTGAGGTGGGGTAGTGTTTGTAGCTGGAGGCTGTAAGGCCACAGTCACTGAAGGTGATATGGAAACCAGGCTTAGAGTAGAGTCCACCAGCTGGAGATAAGGGGCCATGTTGGTGGAGAGCCTGCAGGAAAGGCTTGCTGAGCAGAGCACGGGCCACACAGTGGGAGAGCCCCTGGGGAGGGCTGGAAGCCCTGGAAAGCTCAAGTTGCAGAATGGTGTGGTCAGAGGGATGTCTGTGGATACAGTGTAGAGGGTGATAGTGAGGCCTCTGGAGACCAAGGTGAGATAGGTGCAGGGCCCAGGTTGATGATTTGGGGGCAGGGGCTAAGATGCATCTCACTTTTGCCCATTTGCCTCTGACCCCACCACTCCTACCTTCACAAATGGCCCTGGCCCTGGCCCTGGCCTCTGCAGCCCCCAGACCACTGGCACTGTTAGTGTCCAGCATCAGCAATGTAATCCCAGGCCCTGCCCCGGGGAGCCTGACCTGAGCCCCAGCCTGCCTTCAGTGTATTGTCCAAACTCAGATACTTTTAAGAGTGAAAGACCAAATACAATTCAGAGTAAATGAGTAATAGGCATGAGGCAATCTCCTCTAGCCACAGACCTGGGCTGTCCTGGACACACCAAGGCACGTGGTCACCCAGTTAGGTGCTGCCTTGGGGCTCACATACTCCTCATTGCCCTCTCAAAGCACATACCCCATAGTTTCTCATGGGCAGGCTGTGCACCTCGTCAAGACAGCAGACCCTGAGGGTGCCCCACAGCGCCGAGTCTGACATAGGATGAGACCTCTGGACGTTCTCAGGGGGTGTCTGTTGGATGAATGGGGTGCAGGGAAGGGTGTGGCCATTGAAGTCAGTGGCGTTGGCAGACCTGACCACTTGACTGTCAAACCTGACCCAGTCCTGATCATGGGCAGGAGAGAGTCTACACTGATGTCACCCCATGGCCACATCCCAACCCTGTCTAACCTATCTCCTTATCACCTGATCCCAAGGGACCTTACATGTTCTTTTTAAAATGTTATTGTGCGTCCTGCACTTAAACGTGTCAGGAAGATTTAAAGCCCCTGACAAGTCTAATGATATCATTAATTTGCTTCCACCCCAGCCCTGGCCAAAACCCAGGCCCCATGCTTGGCATGGAGCCAAGGCCATCAGCATGGAACACACAGAGTACACAGGCCAGCACTGGGCAGCCCAGGGCACCTGAGTGTCTCCAGCCTGACTTCTTTATAATGTTGAAATTTAAGTTTTGAGTTCCTGTCTTTGTTAATTTGGGGGAGGGGGACTCCCTGAAGAATGAGTGTGGTCAGGAAGTATAGGAGAAAGGGCTAAGCATGTCCACAGGTCCCAGGGAGCCTGGGATGGGGGAGGGAAGAAGAATGCTGTCTTCATGGCTCTGATGGTTCTGAAGGCCATCTATCTGTCATCCCTGTTGCTACTGCTTGCCAAGGCCATCCCTCACTGGCAGCACCTGACATCACAGGACAAAGGTGACCAAACCATTCCATGCCCAGACTAGTTGTATAATACCTAACATTGATTCAAGACTTCCTTTGTGCCATGCACTGTGCAAAGCATTTTCCAGAACTCATTTATTCCCTACAACAATGTATACTACCTCCATGTTGCCAATTTAGAAACTGAGTCTCTGAGAGGCTGCTCAGCTAGTAAGAAGCAAATGAGGGATTCCAACCCAACTGTCCTGGCTGTCTAACGATAGGACTTGTCTTCATAACCCTTGTGTCTCTGCTGCCTCTCATTCATTCATTCACTGACTGACCAATATTTATTTGCTGGGACAACATAGTTTCACATTCTCTCACATACCCAAGGAGTGGGGAGGAGCCTGTGAGGGTCATGTTTCCAGAAATAACCCTCTGAAACACCACTCAGAAGCCTCTGATGTTTCCTATAGCTGCACACTGGTTGAGTGTGCTGCTGGTCAGGGCTGTCAGTCATCCCTTTCGCGGTGAAGAGTGGAGTGAGGACTTCATTCTCTCATTTATCTATTTGCCAAGCAAACCATGCCTGGGCACCAACTCTCTGCCATCCCTGATAGGGGACTAGCATGGCTGCTATATACAGCTATGCAGGTTGTGCACTGCACAAGGTTACGGGACAACAATCATGTTATTTATTGTTTTGTTCATCCCAGAACAATGCATCAGGTCTTTCTGGTAGAAAACTCCATGGTGCACATTCTTTCACCTCCTGCCTCACTCTAGGGAGTGCACTGGTCCTTGGCCAGCAGATGGCAGGGGCAGATGGATGGCCTAGCCTCTTCAGAGTCCCTCAGGGTTCAACCTATATGACACCTCCATTGCCCTCAGAAAGAGTATTAACAACTCCACACCCGCTCTAGAAGCCATGTGGCTGGGCTGCATGACCTTTTGTGGGGCTAAACCCTGCAGGAAACCAGTATCTCATGTCAGGCTCTCCACCTGCCTTGTCCATCAGTTAGCTAGGCCTGGCATCTCAGGCTCTGTGCCCAGGTAGGTGAAGGTAGAGCAGGGGCAGAGCAGACAGCAGGTAGAAGGTGTCTTGCAAGCAAGAGCTTGGAGACTGGGATGACACTGACAGATTGTGGGGAAAGAGAAGACATATTCTGACTCACTGCCTCAGTTTCCTCAACAACCCCCTGCACACATCGGAAGAGATTGTGCTGGAACACGTGGACTTGTCATCCAGGTTGGAAAGACAAAGTGTTGGGAGTGGTGGGACACAGGAGGGGCCACCGTGGCCAGGAAGGGAAAGCACAGCTTTATGTTCAGGGTTCAAGGAACATTCACTGGGTTCACCTTCATCTTCTTTGTGCCAGGCACTGGGGACCAGGAATGCCGAAGGCTCTGCCCCTGAACCCAGGGAGCTCTCTGCTTAGTTCAAGAATTTGTTGATGCTGCTGTTCCCGGGCCACAGGGCTGGGTGTAGAGTATGGGGTGATGGTGAGGTGCCCATGGCTGAGAAGCTAAACAGTTCAGTTCCAAGGCAGGTTGTTGGGGAAGCCATTATCATGGGGGAAGTGGTCCTGGAGTCTTCAAGAAGAGATGGAGGGGTTTGGGTTATGTCCTGGGAAGCAGAGGAGTCAGGGATGGGGAGATGGTCAAGGCAGCAGATGGTGGCCCAAGCATTGGGAAAACCAAAAGGGATGGCCCTCTTCTTATCTCTGTAGGGTGATGAGGGCTGAAGGCAACCCACAATAGCACCCATCACCTCACTTAATCCTCTCATTTAATCCCATCTTACGGGGAGAAAACAGGCTCAGAACAGTTGAGTAATTTGCACAGCATCAGAATAGGGCTGAAGCCCAGATCAGCCTAATCCCAGACCCCCTGGCCTTCCTGCTCTACCAAGTACTTCAGTTGACCCCACACACCCTCCTGCTGAACTGAATTCTTGTACATGCAAGGCTGGGGCCCAGGGGTGAAGTGAGGGTACTTAGTGAGGTAAGCAACATCCTAGCCTCCCCAAACCTTGGCGTCTAGGAGCTGAGGTTAAACAGGGCGGACACAAAGCAGAGCATCTGCAGCTGGGCTCTCGTCCCGGCTTGGCCACTTCACCAGTTGTGTGACTTTGCACACATCTCTGGCTTTTTCTACTCATACTTGCTTCATCTGTAAACTAGGAACAACAGGGATCATCTCAAAAGGTTTGGGAATTGATAAGAAACATGTAGCCCTCTATCGGGGCCTCCTAGAGGTAAGTTGCCAGCCCCACCTGGCCCTGCTATGCGTGTGAATCTAAGCCCACCTCCAGCCGTAAAGAACTGAAGGCAGCCTCTGCCTTGCCTTTGCAGCTGCCCAACTTCATCAACACCACCCTCCCTCCGCACGAGCAGGTGACGGCCCAGGAGATCGACAGCTACTTCCGCCAGGAGCTCATCTATAAGAGGAACGAGCGCATGGGCAAGAGGGTCATGGCGCTTCTGCAGGAGAACGAAGACAAGATCTGCTTCTTTGCCTTCGGAGCAGGTTTGGGCCTCAGCAGGGAAGGGATAGTTTGCAGAATCCTGGGAGATGTTCTAGCCCCTCCCTGACCTCTACTTCACCAAGAGAAAAATTAGGCCCCAGAATAGAGCAGGAAAAGCCATTCTCTGCTTCTGGTCAAAAGTTCTTTCATAATGGTCCCTGTGGACAAGGGAAATGACCCCTGCAAGGCCAGGATAGCTTCTGTGGCCCCTTCGTGCCCTAGGCAGTCACAGGAGAGCCCAGAACTGAAGCCAGCTCCCACTGGTTAGTCCAGCAAAGCCAGGGCCAAGGCTGTGAGGACCACGTGGCCCAGTGGGGAGACAGTCCTGGCTCCAGATCCCAGTCCAGCCACGTCACCTTGGCTGGCACCTTCTTGAAGACTCGCTTCTGTAAGTGAGCAGTGATAGCAGTAACTATTTGAGGAATTGAAAACATCTACCTTATGGAATTGTCGTGAAGATTAGAGATAACATTTAAATAACCTGCTACATAGTAGGAACTCAAAATTGCAACAATGTTGTCACTCTCATCACACCACAGTGGGGAACCACACACTTGATGCTTTCTTCTGGGGATTTGGCCTCTTCATGAAATGCGGAGACCAGATGTTCAGGGGTAAGACTCAACACGCATCTCCCTCCCTATTCCTTCTCCTGTCATTTCCCTCCTCTCCCTCACTCTTTCTTCCCTTCTCTGTGGCTGTCCCTGCTGGGGACAGCAATGTCTACGTTGGCATCAGAATATTGTTTTTGCTTCCTTTATTAGTCCTAGCTTTTGCTCAGTAGCTGACAGCAACAAATGTTTATTTCTTGTTCATGTTACTTGCCAAAATCTGCCTTCTGCTTTGTGAGAAGAACTAAGTGAGACAGCTCAGGATGGCTCTCTGGGTCTGGCATTGTGCTCACAGCTGCTGCCCCAGCCCTGTCCTCCCCTGCCCATCACCCATGCACCACCCTCCAGGGCGACAGTCAGTCTAACCCACAGAGGCCCTTGTGTACATCCTGATTTCATAATGAAGTGTGTCTACTGTTTGAGGTCTGTCCCTCCCACTCCCATTCAGCCAGATACCTCAAGGGCAAGAGCCAGGAGTCCATCTGTCCAGGCCTCTCTTCCTTCCTCTGCAAATTCAGCACAGTAGAAGCCCCTGCAAGGGACTCAGATATGGATGCAGGCCCTCTGCAGCCAGTGCTGTGTCGTGGCCTGTAGTGGCCTCGGGCAAGTAAGTCCTTTTCCCTCTTGTAGACTCAGTTTACTCATCTGAACAAAAAAAGCCAAGTAGGATTATAGGAGCCATTCAGCCACAGGTTTTAGAGATGGGGGTGCATTCCTGTAGGGGTGTTCCGAGGTGCTTCCTAAAGGGAGGGGAGCAGCAGGAACTGGACTTGACTGACCGTGTGGTATGTCACTCTCCAGCTGTGTGACACCTGCTGGAAGATGGCGTGTGTCAGGATAGCTTGAGGATGTGCATAGCTTGGAAACTGCTCCCACTGCTCCCTCTCACTCTCACACACCTCCTTCCTGTGGGCATCAGGGCAGCATCCTGCCCTGGAACAGTCAAATGGAGAGCCAGTCTCAGTCAGCCACCCCCAGGCTCCTCCCTGGGCCTAGGAGGAGCCCCCAGGGGTGCTGTCTGTGGAAGAGACCAGTGAGGGAACCAGCATTCCACGTGCCCCACCTGAGTGCTTGGGCCTCCATCTCCCCCCACCTCCCTGCCTCCCGGTCCCAGGGCCTAGGACCAAGGTCATCCTGGGCCAAGTGGGCAGCCTTGAAAATTGCCATCCTTTTCTTGAAACCCCAAGTCTGTGGGGACACAAATGACCACTCAAGCATCGGGCTCAGAAACATCATGCTCAACTCCTATTTTTGATCTCCGAAATTTAGTCAGTCCCTGGTTGGTCCTATTGACAGGTCACCAGAAAGACCTCACAGCCATCCACTTTATCCATCCCCACTGCCATTATCTCCACCTAAGCCTGCAGCAACTCTGGCCTCCTTTCCTGGCCTCCTCTCAGCTGGCAAGCTTGTTAGGATAGGCTGGCAGTAAAGTCAGGGCAAAGTGACTCAGCTGTCCTCGACCCGCTCTCCAAACACAACAGGCCTGGAGCCACATGTAAATCTTCCTGGAAGCTGCCGCTTCTGGCTCAGCTACCCCTGGAACAACTAGCCCAATCCATACAGCAAATCTCCTCTCAACCCAAGAATTTCAAAGCTGGACAGAGCCTCTAGGCTCGAGCCTGCCCCCTCCTCATAGCTACGGGCAAACTGATGTCCACAGAAGGCAGGGACATGGGCAGAGCTCATGGCAGGTCTGGGACAGAGCCAGGACTGGACCCCCAGGCCCTGGAGCTGTCATCTAAGGGCTCTATTTTCAGGTATGGGCCATTGAGCCAGCTGAGCCAGCCCATTACAGAGTCAGCATACTGGTATGGACAGCGTCCACATGAAATCTGGGGCAAGAAAAGTCCACCCCAGCCTTGTTACATTCCTATGTTCATGTTGTTCCCCACATCCGGTAACAGGCTGCAAGATTTACGTGCAGGGCTGGGGCCAAGCACTCCCTTGGTAGAGCGTGACCTGTAGACACGCCTGCTCGGCTCTTCATCTGTGGGCCTTGGGGCTCTGTGGGACTTTTGTTGCTCATGCCCTGCCAGGACCCCCAAGGCTCTGTGGGCAGGAGGAGGGGTCTGCACTTCCAGGAATACTCCTGGCCTTCCCCCAGGCACGTGTCTGCTCACTCAGAGTTCTCTCAGATCCAAAGTCCATGGATGTCTCTAAGAAATCTTAGGATATAGAGGCACCATAAAGACTCCTGGCCACTCCCAGACCAGCTTGCTGGATGTCCAAGCCAGGACCCTGCCAAAGTTCTGGCTAGCTGATGGCCCTAAGCTCTGTGGCTCTGAAGCTCTGAAGGGACCACACATGCAGAGGAGAGAGAGTGAACCTCCACCCACCTGGCTCTGCCAGTGCTCATGATGACCCATCCCCACCCATTCCAGCCCTAGAATCCCATCCTGAGAGCCCACAAGGACAGACTGGGATTCCCAGAGCTGATGGCCACCTGGCCCTGCCTCTGTTCTGCTCTAAGGGTAAAAGGTGTGGAGTTGGGAGGCCTGGATGTAAAACTGAGGCCCTGCCACTATCAGCTAAGACCCTGGGAAAGCCATTTTGCCTCCAGGGGCCTCAGTTCCTTATCTGTAAAATGGGGATAATACACCTGCCTCTTGGGATTGTGCTGGGAACAGTCATTTTAGATCAGAGTTCAAATGCTCTACTGTGCTAGAAGGATTCTTATCATAAAACCCTGGCTATGTGCTGGCCACCATTACAGCCTCCCTGATTATGTTATCTCCGATCTTCACAGTAACACCATAAGGTTGATTCCACTATCCTCATTTTGCAGATGAAAACTAAGCATGTATGGCTTCCTCAAGACCATGCAGTCAGACCTTTGACATGAACCCTGGCCTCTTGGATCCCAGTTCTGCACATGATGCCTTTGCTGTATACATTCAGAAATACCAATGAGTCTGTGGAAACAAGAGTCTGTTTAGCTGGCGCATCTCCAGAAGAATGCTCTTAGCGTCTGTGACATTCCCGCAATGTGGCGCTATGTGACCTCTTCTGGAGGTTATTCTTCTGGTTCAGGACAGATGGGGTGCAGGCATGTGTGACAGTTCTGTGCAGTCCTGGGTGGTGTTTAGGGTCCCAGAGGAAAGCTTTACCTCTCGGGAAGTGGCCAATTCAAGCCCAGGCATTCTGGAAGGAGGCAGGTTGCTGCCAAGGAGGAGTGTGTCAGCCCCAGGGGAGAGAAAGGCTGTTGCCCAACTGCTAGGCTCATGCAGCTGGACAGGTTGAGCCTGAAGGGGCCCCCAGGGTCTTCTAGTCCAGTCACTTGCAGATACAGGTCCTCAGATTTCCTCTGATCTGCAAATAACTGAGAAAAATAAGTCATTAGGTGGTGAATTTTTTATTAGCTAAATTAATTCGATTTACAGGCTTATATTCTGAAATTGTCCTTTATCTACTGTGTTTGAAGTTACAATATCCTTTATGTTAAAACAGTGATGGTTATAGATGGCAGTAGGGATCTTAACATCCTTACTTGTCAAAATCAAAAGCTGGTGACTGTATTGTTCTCCCCACCTACCGCCTGTTTTTATAAGATGAGAAAGAATTAAGCATGCTTAAAACGTGATGGAAAGAATACACTCCGATGGGTGAGGCTGATGATATTTGAAGGAGAGAAGGGCAAAATGACAAGCTGGGGCTTCCAAGAAGGCGGAAAGGATAGCCCTCAGGTGCAGAGTTTATCCTCGGGAAGGGGAGGGTACCCCTCACCTGTAACTGCAGGGAAGCAGGGAGGAGGCAGCAGGCTGGTAATTGGATGGTGGAGAGTGGAGCAGATTCCTAACTGATGGCTTCTAAACAGAGCTCCACTCTCTGAAGCGGAGGAGGGAGGGTTCTTGGTTTGAAGAGGGGACAACATTTAACGTAAATGAAAGAGAGAACTGACCAGACAAGGAGTTAAGTGGATTTCATCCAATGCCTAACTGTGATCAAGTGGCAGTGGCTGCCTGGAGCGCATTGGCATAAAGCAGTGGTTCTCAACCTCCCTAATGCCACGGCCCTTTAATACAGTTCCTGTGGGTCGTGACCCACTGGTTGAGAACCACTGGCGTAAAAGATGATAAAACCACATCAGAGCTCAGCAGAGAAGAGATCCTGACTGTTTTGTTTTTTTTTGTTTTGTTTTGTTTTTATCCTGACTGATTTGTAACGTCTGTTGGAAACCAGCACCAGGGCACAAGCTTGCCACAGTCTGCACTGTCAGTGCTAGGAACATGGGGGTGCTGACCAGCACTGGGGCCTATGAACTTGCCAGTTGCAGGTTATAAGATTTTCTCCAGCAACAGTGAGCAGCTAGGGAGCATATGTATATGCTGTCCCCCCGGCCTGTGTCCTGATGTTATCCTAGTACCCACCATTCAACAACCATCCTATTG